CTTATTATTTTTTTTTTTTTTTTGCAAAAATGAATTTAATTATCAAGAAAATTTCAATTTCGTTGTACTCGCAGGCCTTCATCAATGATCCATTGCAGGTTGCCGAAAGCAAACGTTAATGTGCGTGCAGCGTTCATCCATGTTATCGGTGATTTCGTGCAAAGTATTGGCGTACTAACTGCAGCCATTGTCATCAAGGTTGCAGCTAATTTCTATTTATATAATCGTTTTTATGCGTTTTTTACATCTATGCAATGCAAAAATGCATATTATCAAAGGTTTTTCCGTATGTGTATGTCCGTTTATCTGTTTGGTTTGTGTGTGCGTCTGTAACGAGTTTTCATCTGGAGACCGGTAAAAGCTAAAAGGCTGGAATTTTGGGAACTTAATCTACACGCATATGCAATCTTGCTTCTCGAAAATGGATGCTCTTGCCCACGTGGTTCTCACGTACGGGCCCGTAAAAGTTTCTGGTGGGTAAGCTGCTAATTTGGGAATCAGAGAAGCCAGAAAGCTGAAATTTTAAGAGGATGTTTGCCATCCACGTGCAGTCTAATGACTTCAACCCTAGCATCCAGGTTTGCGCGATTCTCACGTACGAGCGTATGAAAATTTTTGGCGGCAAGTTGCTAATTCATGGATCAGAAAAGCTAGAAAGCTGAAACTTTATGGGGGCGCTTTCTGACAGCCGTAGTGGCCAGCTCATTTTTTTAGCTAGAAGCATCTGCCGAAAAAAACAGTGCCGTTAGCGATAAAAACCTGCGAGGAACTCTGCAAAAAACGCAACTTCGTACCGACAGTCGATGCTTTGGCTAATTTTTTTTAAATTTTTTAATTTTGTTTTATGAAGATGCGATAATTTTACACGTTTTTTTTGTTTGCCTGACAATCGCTTTTTTTTGGCGTAGCTGCGCCTGGGGTGTGGGAGCATCTCGATAATATCGCGGACTTGGGGTCCCACACAGACTGTCTCTATGATCTTAATTAGACAGATTAGGCCATATGAAAACTGAGAAATGAAAACTGCATAAACTTTTTGACTTTTTTCTCGAGAATTTAAAATAATAGGATTAAAAGAATATAGTTTTGCCCTATAAAGTGCATTTTTTTCTATTTCACTGTTTTATTCGCAAACTGAAGCACGAAAATTACGGTGCAAACCTCACTAGCTAACATTTATGTTGTAGATGACGAACTGGAAATTGGCCGATCCACTGTGCACTTTTTTGTTCTCCATAATCGTTCTTTTCACAAGTGCTACTGTCATCCGCGATATTTTTTTCGTCCTAATGGAAGGTAATAATTAATTTTTTGAGGGCTTCGCTACTGCAACTGGCAAAATTTTCATAATTGCTGTGACCGAAATGTCTATGAAGTAAAATTTCGAAATATTTCATCCCCTTTCCCCTGGTAACTAGCTCGGTAGCGATCGTTGCGCTTATTTTTTATGCGGTTTTTCCGGTGTAACAGCTCCGCAAAGCGCATATTTTCACGCCCCTGTCTGCGTGTAAATTTGTAAGGATGTATTTTATCCTCATTTTTTGATTCAGGAGCCACAAAAGCTAGTAGGCGGGGATTTTAAGAGATTTTTTTCTGCTCACGTTGACCCTGAATTTTTCTTTAACGTACAAGCCTTACGTATGCTCTATGAAAGTTTAACGTACAAGCCTGCGACCCAGAAAATTTAGATTCAGCCCCCCATTTATGCCATTTATGCCTAATTTAAATTCAGCCCCCATTTATGCCTAGATTTCGAGCACGGTCTCGTGAAATTTGTAGTGGAAAACTACAATCTCGAGAGCCGCAAAAGCTAGAAAGCTAAAGGATGTCCCCTACCCACGTGCGACTTAGCTTTTACGCATGCCTAGGTCTTGCGTACAGTCACATGAAAGTCTCTGCGGGAAAATTTGCTATCGCGAGAGCTGAAGAGCTAGGAGGTGGAACTTCGGAAGGATGTTCTATTCTTACGCAGGGACCTCACAATCTCGAGTTTTGCTACCGCTTTTGAGGTCATGTACCGCTGCGTGAAATTTTTGGGGGCGAAAATCACTCTGAAGCCAGAAAACTAGCAAACAAAAATTGTAGAAGGATGTTCATTGTCCATGTGCGACCCGCGGGTTTCAAATTCAACTTTCGCGCACGCCTGTATTTCACGTACTAGTGCTTGAAATTTTTAATGGGAAATTTCGCAGCTCTAGAGACCAGATAGCATACTTGTTTTTACGCACATGAAGCTGTAGTACAGTGGTAATTCTTAGCAAGCAAACGTCTACTGCATTTGGACACATCAAAGTATAGAAAGGTGAAAATTCTTAACAGCAAACGTCCACTGGACGGGACAGCGTAAAACGCATGATCGCATCGGCTGTCCAAGTGCGCACCGATAATTATTTAAAAATCGGTATATTTTTTTCTTCAATTTCTGTTATTGTTTTTTTTTTTTTTTTTTTTTTTTTTTTTTTAAA